TCATCAGCTCCGCCTGGGTCGAAGGCAGGCAGACCAGAGCACTCCGAGAGGTGCGAAAGGCAGTTGCTGGCTTTGAGGCTACCTGAGGCCATATCGGAGTCCCCCTCCCTGCAGGCTAAGGAGGTCCAGAAGTGGGTAGCTCTGGCAAAGAGAGGAGGTCAATTGGCTGCCTGGTTTCGGACGGTGCTTGCGGAGGAGGTGGAAGTGCGCAGGCGCAAAGACTCACAGGCCAGGAGTAAAGCTTGGAGGGAGTTTGGTGAACTTGCAGCTCAGGGCTCGGGTAGGATAGCGCACGCGATCTCCAGGCCCAAGATGTTAGAGGAGGCGCCCACGCTGGCAAAAGGCAAGCCCCACGGTCTGGTGGGAGCTGCGGCGATCACGGCGGTGCTGGAGGAATGGGAAGAGCTGTGGATCTCTGACGATAGGGCCCAGGAGGCAGCGCCGTCTGGTTGGAGTTACCCGTGGAAGCTTGACCCGATCTCGGAGGACCAGATCGTCAAGGTATGCCGCTCCTTTGGCATTTCTACTGGGCTTGGCTGGGACAACTTTCACATGAGGCTGGTTACCTTTCTGGATGGGGTGTTTGTGCGGAGACTGCAGGAGATTATCTCCAGTTGGGAACGCAATCCGCACTGTGAGCGCATGTGGGTCACGATCAATGTTTTTCTGCCCAAACCTGGTGGGGGCACACGGCCGATTGGGCTCTTGTGTTTCTGGGCACGCATTTGGAGCAGATGCAGAAGGCAGTATGTTAAGAGTTGGGAGGCAACTGTGGACGCGAAGTTCTTCTGGGGAAAAGATGCCACGACCAGTTGCGACAAGGCGGCGTACTTGCACAACATGCTGGCCTGTTACGCCAGAAGGAAGAAGCTGTCGGCCATTACGGTGTTCTATGACATCCGCAAGTTCTACGAGAATGTCAGTCATCAGCAGCTGCGTGAAGCAGCAGAGCACTACGATTTCGACGGCGCCTTGCTGAAGGCGCTCTGCTGCCTGTATCGGGCACCACGTCGGGCGCGCTGGACAGGTGGCACGAGCAGAGTCAGTCACCCGAATGGTACGATTGTGGCTGGATGCAGTGCGGCAACGGGAGTGGCGAAGCTGATGACTTTGTGCCTCCTCAAGCGCCTGGCGGAGGAAACGCCTCCGTGTCGTGCTCTGAATGTGGTCGATGATTTGACGACGCATATCATCGGAGGCCCCAGGACGGTGATTGAGAACACGGTCAAGAGTTTCGAGATCGTCACAGCTGAACTGGACTCGAGGAAGTTGCCGATCAATTGGGACAAGACTAGATTCATGATGTCAGATCAGTCTCAGCTGCCTGCATTGGTACAGGACCCCAGGTGGAAGCTATCGGACGACAAGCTGGTCATCGCCCACCGTGACCTCGGCGGCGACTCGCTGGACGGCAGGGCGAGGCGGGTCGGCACGCAGACATCGAGATGTGAAGCTGCCCGCAGCACCGCTAGCGCCCTTCGTCGATTGGGGCAAAGTGAAAAGCACAGTAGTGTTTTTCGTGTGGGAGCGCTGGCTAAAGCTGCGTGGGGGTCCCACATTTTGGGGATCCCGCCGACCACCCTCCATAAGCTCAGGGTCCAAGCCGCGAGATCCTGGGGCCCTCTTCTTCCTGGTACCTCCCTGGGCTTCAGGTTTCTTTCGGCTGCCCGCCTTTGGCTCAGGGACCCGCTTTTGGTGGCTGTGTCGTCGGCTGTAAAGGAATTCGTCAGTGTCTGGTGGGCCCGCTCGGTTTCGAAACCAGTTTTTGAGGCATGTGTCCAGGACGCCATAGCGGTCCAGGGGAGCAGGGCCCCCTGGGGCCAAGTCCGCCAGCCTGTTGTTGCGCTTTTCCTGCAGCTGGCTCGGATCCGCTGGAGTTTCGACCTGTCTCGAATGGCCCTGGTGGATGACCTCAACCGTGTGTGGTCTATTGATCGTTTTTCGCCCAAGTTTTTCACCCTTCTCCTGCGTGGCTCGGTCGTTAGGACTATTGAGCGGGAGGAGCAGTTGAAACAGTTCGATTTCGGTATGTGGAGCGGCCCTGTCTTTTGGCAGCCCATTCATCAGCTCCTAGGGCGGAAGTGTTCAGAGTCGTGGACAAAGTCGCATAAGGCAGCCCTGTCAGCTTTGTGTGCGAATGTGTACTGGTGCCAGCACAGAGTGTGCGAGCACAGTCCAGAGGCCCCTGACCAATGCCAGCTTTGTGGAGATGGTAGGGGCACTTTGTACCATCGCAGGTTTCAGTGTGTTGCCTTCGCTCCCTGGCGACGCGAGAACCTGGATCCCGTGGTTGAGAGGGCGGCTCGTGCGGTTGGCCATCTCCCCACTTCGGCTGGAGAACTGTTTAGCAGAGGTCTCTTCCCCAACCCTGCGGCCTGGGTGGAGCGACCCCCCCGCGACCCGCAGGACCCGTGCACCAGGCACTTTCAGTGGCCTCAGGACGGCCCCCTTTTCATTCCTGAGGGGGCCCATGTGTTCACGGACGGGTCGGGTTTTGAAGGGGAGCTCACAGGACTCGGGACCGCGGGGTGGGCTGTTGTGGTGCTGGACAGGCTCGGGAGGACCCTTGCAGCCCTGTTTGGCGTCGTGCCGTTCGGGGAAGCGCCTGGACAGCAAGCACGGGATGGCGAGGATTTCGCTGTTCTGATGCTCTCCCGCCGCTCGGTCCTCGCCTCAGGGGTCTCGCTTCATGTGGACTGTGCGGCCACGGTCGGCTGCCTCCGAAATCTCTCGGGGGCTGCTGGAGCGGCCTCGGCCCGAGCCCACTGGTGGGCTGAGATTGGGGACCGTTTAGAGGGCTTGGCGGTGCATCAGATCCCGTCTCACTCGTCAATGTTGGATGTCAGGGACGGCCGTATCACGGATATGCAGCGTTTCGGGAACTCGGAGGCGGACAGACTCGCCAAGGAAGGAGCTGAACCATTCCGAGTGTCGCGCGAGGACCGCCAGTTTGTCACTGGATATGCTGAGTTCGTCCGACGTGTAGGGCTGTACAGTGCCAGGCAGCAGGTGGAATGCAGAAATTTAGCCCTGAACGATCATCAAGGGCTGGAATGGCTCAGCTACGTCCTCCTGGACGCGGTCCCTGGCCTCCCCTTTCCTGGTTCGGACCCTGGGGAGGGTGAGCCAAGTGCGCAGTGCGAGGTGCCTCTGGGTGCGCCAGGTGCGGGGGAGGTCCCTGGTGTCACCCCTGGTGCGAACTCTGGCGAGCCGCCTCCTGGGAACCCCCCGACCCCAGGAG